TACCTGCTTTTAGGGGAAAAAAAGTTAAAGATTCTGTTTGAAACATTAGGGTAACCACCCTTCCTTAAAGACAAATATTTTCTCTCTCTCCATGTTTTGAAAAAATTGAAATTATTGAAAATTACACATTTATCAGTACTTTTCTTAGCTTTCAAAGATTTAAATAGTAACAGAAGATGCACTATGGCAAGAGACACAAACTAAGAGTGAGTTTATCCAGTCAGTGCTGTATTTTCCAGAATCCTTCTGGGACGTGGAGTGTACCCAATATTACAAACCCACTGTCTCACACATCAACATCCGAAATTCTCATACTCAGCACACGTCAAAGTCTATAAATCAAAGCTCCCCACCTTGAACCCTCCACCTCCACTCTGCAAAAGTAAAAGACAACACCACCTGAAGTAGCAATGTACACATCCCACAGATTCTATACTGCACCGTCCCTTTCACTAAACTCACTTTAAAAATCAATTACAGATTTATGTAACCAGAACAACAGTTTAATTCTCCACATGGTCATGCAAGGCCACTTTCTCAATTCCAGTATCACTGCAGTCCCTCTGTTAAAAATGTCAAGAAAATGGAAAAACAAAAACAAAAACAAAATCATACCACTTTTGTTTTTCAGTATTTCCCCATGTTTTTTGCTGTTTGTTTTGTTGTGGATTTTTTTATTTGCTATAGGTGAAATCAGAGGCATCCTGTATTCTGTGTACATTGTTTTCACAGTTAATAAATGTGCAGATTGGAAAGAAACACTTTGCTTTTGAAAAAGGCATGTAGAAAGCAGCCCAGCTCCCAAACCTTCAACTGCAGGCAATCATTTGTCAGTGGCTGCACCGCTGAACCAACGTCTCTGCTATCGTGCCTGGAAACTGATGGTCACCAACAGCTACATCTTCATGATGGATAATGACACTGAACAACTGCATAGCAGTAGTAACAATACTAATACTTAAGAATAAGTAATTATATGAATTAATAATAAAAGGTAATCCTAAAATATAAGCAATACATACTGTTCCATTCTCAGCTCTGATAAAGCTATGAAGATTCTGTCCTCACTAATTTTATTAATGAAACCAAATAATACAGGAAACACTTTACTAAAAGCAAGTAATTTGGAAAACAAACGAACACACCCAGGACTTTTTCCTCCACCTGCTCTACAATTCTTCATGTTTTACTAAAAATCACACCCTTGCACTGAACTTAAGTAAACTAGGAGTGAGCAATTCCACTGTGTACATATATTAAGCTCTGGATAGGCTGAACTATTGACCTCCTTTGCCACTAAAATATCAGTTAATCATAAAACTGAGCTGTGAGCTGTTACTCAGAAGCAACAGCCAATATAAGAGAGCAACTTCTAACTTATGGTTAATAAAGCAGGCTAAGTGCACAATTTCAGATTACCACATATTTTCTACACCTCTCCAAAGGAAAGGCAATCACAACTCACAGGATACACTCAGAAGGACCACACTCCCCAAAGCCACAAAAAACAGCCTAAAGCATTACTTCTGATTCAAGTGCTACCCTCTGCCTTTCGTTTTGGTTTTAAGATATTTGAGAAGTGAATAACTTGAGCAATGACACTGGACAAGAGGTATAATTGTAGTGAAATGAAGCCCAGGTGCCCCATGAGAATTGATGGGGAGGAAGGAGCCTTCAGCACCAGCAGTTTGAAATAATTTGTGTCTAACCACCCGTGGTCAGGAACACAATGCCGTGCTTGGCACCGACTTCAGCTGTGCTTAGAAATGGAAATACAAAGCACACACCTCGCTTTTTCAGAGGAAAATGTCAGAAAATAATGTTTTGCTTCACATATTTTAGACTTACTGCAGCCATTTAAAAACAATGAATGGCTTCACTTATTTGACTGCTCAGCACTAATTGCAGACTGATATAACAACACGTACGTTTTCTAGCAAAATGCCATCACTCAGGACAGATTACCTGGGAAGTGCTGGGTAGACAAACACACTGTCGGAGGACTTTTAACTAGTGGAAGAATTATCTCTTCATTAGAAAACAATTTTGTTTAGCATTAGCAGAAACATTTACTGAACCAGTCACCAGACACTGGTTTTGCTATTAAGAAGATGGAAAATGATCTAAATACCTAATAATTAATGTGCACATCTGATACTGACTGAAGTACAATAATTGCTCAAAGAGTTCAGAAGTAGGATACATCTCCAGCAAAGCACAGGCCAACTGATCAATAACATGTTATTAAGAAGTGTCATGAAATTATAAATACTGAATGAATTATGTGAAAAATAATTTTCAATCCTAATTTGAAAACAATGCTAATATTTGCTTAGATATTAAACCAACAGAAAGCAGAATACTAACCTATTCTTATTGATGTGTCAGAGAATTTGCTATCACTGCTACTTGGAATGGAAACATTAAAAATCACCAGATCAACGTTCACTAATGTGTTCTAAACCCACACAGACAGTAGTCAAACTTCATGATGAAAATTTTTCTTTCCTGCCACCCCATTTGACACTGAGCGGATGATCAATTATAATTTGCTTCAGATTTTTAACTAATACATGCAAAACTTATGGAAAATTAACAAGGAACAATGACAGAAAAGAGAGTATCCTTTTGAAAAACAAGTGATCTTCTCAGAAACAAGAATTAGGAATAATTGAATAATCTCCAGAAAGAAGATATTGCTGCAGAGATGTCATCTAATACAGCAGAGTAAATCACCTGCCAGTCCCTCGTACAATACCAGCAGCAGCAGCAGCCACTGCAGAGTGAGCTGTTCCGTTATTAGCCTTACCTTTCCTTATAAATCTAATAAATCCTCTTCTGAAAAAATAATGTTTATAGTTAGCCTTTTATGAGCAAAATGTATATAAATAAATATAAATTTAAAAAATTCATATTGATTTGGGCTTGCAGTTATCTTACAGAAGCCTTGGGTGAACTCTTTGGAAAAGGAAGGTCTGTCTGCATTTTCCAGACAGATAAGGAGGCAGCAGGAGTACCTGCTGCTCAACCTGGTGCCATCCCTGGCTCATTCCTCATGGTGGGTACAATCCTTCAGTCTCCACAAACCCTTGCTACCTCACCCTTTTTTTAATTGAAACTGGTTAACAGTAACATTTATTCACCTTCACTTTCACTGAATAAGAAGAACCAGTCATACAGCAAAGCAAACATCTTGACATTTTCTTATTAAAATAATACTGTCACAGAAATTCAGATTTTTCTTTTAAATTATTTTTTTTATCCGGTTCACTTCACAGTGGACTAAACAGGGTTGAAAATTAGTCTCAAGCCAGCCACAACTTTCATGCCTATATGCGAGTGTTAATTAAGTTAAAAACAAATTAAAAATAAAATTACACCCACAATAACATTCTTTCCCTTAGCTGGCTAATAAAAATATATCACATAACTCATTATTTCTTTTGTTTTCTTCTCCCATTAAAAAGCTTCAGTCTGTCACACACTGAATAACAGAAAATCTATTTTTTTCAAGCATTGGGAAAAAGAAATGGAAAATTTGGGACCTGTTTGTTTCAGCTCAACCTCTTTAAAACAGAAGCTCTTTTCATATCTCTGTTCTTTCAGAACAATGTCTAAGTCAATTCAATGCAATAAATCAATTATTTAACCTGCCTTAGATCTCAACAACTGTCATCTTAACCAAGATGGACACACAGATCTTTTTACTTCATAGGAAAACCAGACTATATTATAAATGAGATCACAAATTTAAAAAAAAAAAAAAAAAAAAAAGCCTTCAGCTTAGTCTTGTTCCAGCTGTGTTCTTCTGCTTCTGCGAATACTAAGCTCCATTTAAAAAAAGACTGATTTTCTGGGATTTATACCTACTGACTTAGTGCATTCCAAGTCCTGGCTTGTAATCCAGACTCTAACCCTATTCCTTAAGTAAGCAAGTGGTCATCCAATGCTACAAAAGATCTTACATAGCTGTTCCATTGAGGTGTCTTGCAAACTTGTGAAAAAGTATTTAAGTTATATTTCCATTTTATATATGCATACATATCCACAACACATGGAAATCTGCAACTGCAGCTCCTCTTTCTTGCTATTTTAGTGCAGCTTTGAATAGACTGTTATCAGCACTCTGCTAAATCTAATATAGTGCAAACTTCAAAATATTGTAAGCAAGGCCCTAAAAAACCTGAGATGAGGAAAAAACCCCACAATTTAATTTCCACTTATTTGCCTCCCAGTCTGATATTCAAACGTATAATTTTTCTCCTCTTCAACTGTAAGACACAGGCATTATCTTTCTTCTTATGAAAGCTCAGATTTAAAAAAAAATTAAGTAGCTTTAGAAGGAACAGCATATAACACGAGTTGGCAGTGCTTAATTTTCTTGGTGCTGGCCTCGCAGGGTGACTCAGAAAAGTAGAAGCAGAATGCAAGGTTCAGCAGCATGTGATTTTGGTGATGGCAGGTCAAGAAATGGAGAAAAGAAAACATTCTACTAGTATTTGCTACTGTATTTTAGGCGTTGTCAGAGATTCTGGCAAGCCATGCAGATACACTTGAAAAAAGGAAAAAAAATGCCCAAAAATACTGGGTTTGATTGTTTGTTTTTTTTTTAATTCTATGTCTTAAGCACATTCTTGTTCTATGTAAGTGCCTTTATGTGCAAGTTTACTTAAAGTGTAAGTGAAAATATTAAGGGTAAAAAACAGGTGGTTTCCCCTTTCCAGAAATGATGTCTTCTTCCTTGCATGAGAAGTGAAAGGCTTTCTTAGCTTTCTAACATCTCACCTCCTAACCTATCTCCCAGGGTTAGCAAATAGCAACCTAGAGAGTGACCAGGCAAAGCAAGGGACATAGCAAATCCATATTGGCCCAGAAACTTGGAGATCCTGTGAGTGCCAAGGGAAACCTTAAGTTCTGTTGCATGTTAATTAGAGCCAAACCTGCCAAACAATTAAATAATTAAATAGTTTTGCTTGGTTTTATTTCAAAGACACACTCACCTGCACATTTGGTCCTGGTGATGAGTGGTGGTCCTGGCTGTCCAGTCCCACCTTCGCCTGGTCTGGTGAGCAGGACCCGAATCTCATATTCCGTGTCAGGGTCCAAGTGCCAGAGCTTGTAAGTCGGCGCATTGACAGCATGGGTTTCAGTCCAGGTCCCAGATGTCATTCGGTACTCCACTTCCTTCAGGATAATGGGTCCATCCCCAATGATGGAATTGGCATTCAGCTGAATGAGCAAGTACGTGGGCCCAACACCCAGCAGCTGTGGGGGGGCTATTGGCCGAGGAGGCTCTGGAGGGGACACAAAAAACCCAAACAAACAAGTCAGTGACAAAACAAAAGCTGGAAAGCCATTGAAGAGGGCTCTTTCCACAGAAAGTTCTCAGGTTTTGGTCAGCAAAGAATTCAAAACTCGGAAGTAAAATCAAACTGACATCAACAAAGAAGAGCTGAGGAGAATTTCAGCAGATGGAAGCAAGTGGCGCATCACTGGCATCTGCCCAATGCTATTTTTTCCATTTAAAAGTCTCAGCTAGGGACCACAAAATCCTATCTGATTTATATATTGCTACTTTTCAACATTTTTTCTGAAAAATATCTGGGTTCATGCTCATTTATATGGTTTACTATGGCAATAACTTGAGATTTTCATAAACATAAGTGATTTGCTTTTGTTGACAGAAGCCATGCATATCCTTTTTATTAAGAAATAGTTGCTATAGTTGACACACTAGCACTGCACAGAATATTCTTAAAAATGAGTATCATTGCAGTTCACTTTAAATCCACCAGATGCAGTTGGGGTAAAAGATACAGATGCCTCTTACAGGAATTCAGAGTACTCTGAACTGCGCAAAAGTCTCAGAATGACAAAATGGTGACGGATACTATAATGTATAATATTGTTTTACTCTTCATTAACGTACTACTGATTTAGAAATGCAAACAATAGTACAAACATTGCCTATGGTCTTTCCTGTTCTTACCAGCTTTGCAACAAAGTTGCAAAATGAAAAGCAATGATGGACCAAACTGGGAGGTGAGATTCCCCCTTACCCTGAGAAGTGTTTATGTAGAGAAGCAGCAACTTGTCTCAGTGTGATTTAGTTTAAGAAACAAATCACAACCAACCTGCACTTTTCTAATAAAATGAAGCCACTGATAAACATGGAAGGTTCATTTTCATTCCAGATGGCTCATATTTCAGCTCATTTGTTTCAGTTAATTAGGCAACAATGCTAAATTCAATGCACACAGGGGTTTCACACAGCAGCCGTGCAGAACTAACAATGCAGCAACTCGGAGCAAGTAGAGGGGATCTCATGGCTATTACATAAAAAATAACATTTAACCCCAGACCATAAGTTTTCCGGAGAGGGGGGAGCTTCTCATTCCCACTCCCCTGACCCCTCTGCACAAGAGAAGTTAAGACACAGAAGCATTGCACATATTCTGCCTCACAGGAATGACCCCACCAATGTCACCAACAGAACCTGTGAAGGAGGTGGTGCTGATGGAGGGGCTGGCAGAGGGCACCCCAGACCTCCTCTAACATCCCACTCTTCCTGCATGGGGAGATTCAGCTAACAACTCCCTGGTTCTCAAGTCCAGCAGTAAAGTTTCCTCTAAGGATACCAGAGCTGGCTCTCAGCAGTGTATTTACCACCTCTGTAAGTAACCAGGTTTCCTACATTTTGGTACAAAATTATTTCTTGCGGACTTTTTTCTAAATTAGCTACATCTCAAGTCACTCAGTTTGGACTCCAGGGAATCTGTGTACCTCCCATACCAGTGGCAAGCACAGCCCAATTTCTTCTCCCAAAGTGAAAAGATGAACACTCTAAAGTGCTCCCATTTCAGCTTCAGGATATACAAAACTCTACAAAGTATCTCCATTAATTATTAACATGTTTTACTCCTTTTTTGCAAGAAATGTGCATATGAACTAATTCAGATCCCTACCTACATCAAAGAACAGAAATGCAGCCGGGCTAATGATGGCATTTTATTTGCTGTGGAACTAACATATTAAATGTCAAACTAATGAATTCTAAGGTCAGTGCATATTAGGGAAGAAAACATAAACGTTGATGAGCATGATGCACTACCAACTCCAAGTTATAAACCTCTAAAACATAAGGCTATGGTTAGAAATACACACTTTGATTAAGTGCACAATTATCACAAATAAAACCTCCCATTAATGAGACTAATATACCATTGCATATTAAATTTTTATGTTAAGAGGTAAAGCATATTCTTATATTAGCATATGCTTTTTTTTTTTAAGCTCTTGAGGACAAGGAGACTTATTTATAAAGTCTCTCCCAGTTCCAATAAATTATGTATGAATTTTAATCAGTTAGCAAATGAACAAGTAATTGTTCTGCAGCTTTATTAATATTCTTCATAATACAATATACTATCAAAACCAGAGGTGAGGTGCAACCAGAAATCCCAAAAGTACACTAAGTATTAACTGAAGCATGCAATCCCAATATACCATGATAAACTTTTCTGATGTTACCCAATTAACTTTCTATTAATTATACTAATTCATTATTCTGCAACTGGATCCATCAAATATTTCCCAATTATAATTTCAAATCACATAATTTCCTTTTATATATACAGCAACCTGAAACTTCTATGGTTTAAAAACTCCTCTTGATAACTGTAAGACAGAACTAAGCCCTTATTAATGAGTTGGTTGCCACTCTCATAGCAAATGTCACACGTGCAACAGTAGTCCTCTTTCAGTGAGTTTTTAAACACAATTGCCATCCTTCAAGGAGCTATTATTGCTGGCTTTTCACTCCACCAATCTGCACCTACCTAACAGCAAAAAACACTGTTTTGCAGTGTCCTGAGAAGATAGGACACCAAAAATATAAAGGCTCTTATATGAGGGGGGAAAAAAAAAAAAAAAAGAGATGAGAGATCCCCAAAGAAAATAATCCACTCCAAAACTTGGTCTGTTTTATAAACAATATAAAAATAACAGCTTTAGCCAAGACAAGTGACAGCTTTGGAGGCAAGAGCCTGGCTCAGAGGCAGTGTTGCAGGAAGCCGAGATTCACCAGTTACCCTTCACACCAGCCCCTCTCCTGCCTGGCTCTGTCAGGTACTCTGCCTGCAGATGTTCTCTACTCAAAGGCATTTTGTAGCTTCCAGTCACACCCAGCCACAGCCAGGTCAGGTAGCACAGAGACATCCCTCCACCCCCCCACTGCCCTGGTCGCTGCAACCAAACTGGAGAATTTTACTCCATATTTCAGCCAGAAGACAAACCACCTCCCTTAATGATTATGAGCTGATGTGGCTAAGGCACATGGTATTCCTAGCAAGCAGCTTTCTTTGAGCACAGTTCCTCATTTCTTGGCCATGAACCGTTTGTGAATAGCCATGAAGCTTCTAAACAACATTCTATGAAAAAAATTTTCAACCCATAGATGGTTTATAAACTCATCAGTAGAATCACGACTACACTAGGTATTTAAGACATTCACACTAAGCAGTTTGAATGAAGACCCTGCATGGTGAGCTTGGTTTCTTCCTTTGCTAAGCACAAATTTTAGAATTGCTTCCAATGTAACCAGTTTAATTACTGACTCATTTTCTGACTATATGTTTTTAGCCACTGTTTAAAAGTGTTAAATCTGACTAATCCTTTGCAGTACACATGGCCATTAACATCTCTGAAGTACTATATAAAAAGAACACTTGTACATCTGCGAGACAAAGTATTTTCATGCATAGCATTTTGCAGTATTTGGCCAGTTCTAGTTTTGACATAAAATGCCCACAGCCAAGTTAATAAAAAATTAAGACTGACATTTCATCAGTACAAAGTTCCCATTCTGCTGAGCTACTAGCAGTACATTATGCTCACATCAGTATGTATGACATTACATATTAAAGGTACTGTGATATTTAGGCACCAATGACTAGAATAAGCATGCAGCATGAACCCCAGCCATACGTCTTCATCCAGTTAAGCAGTTGTTTTATATTCTTAATATTAAATATTGTATGCAATTATGACTTTATAAACAGAAAAAAAACCAACCAGGAAAGGTCACCAGTGTTATTAGTACAGTAACTAGTATGCATAAAACACATGCCTTCATTCTTGAAACTCTCTGTCCCATCCCTGCCTCATATGGCACGTCTAGACATAGATACCCTGTGAGCTCCCTTCGCTCACACACGCAGTGTGCTTTCCCTCTGGTGACACCATGTTCATTGGTCAAATATCTGACACAAAGCTATACAATTGGTATGCTGATGGATAGCAACAGTTTTAACTCACATACAACATGGGTTGCTATTAATCATAAAAAGCTTTATTTTTACAGGTATGAGAAAGTACTCATTTATTAAAAGAAGCCCAACTTCAGCCTCACCCCTCCAGAAATGTAAATCAGTAGCTGTTAACTGTGTCATAAACTGTTAAGAAAGCAGGTAAATCAAATGAATACAGATTTTCTTTCAATTTTTGTCATAATTCAGAGAAACAAATAAATAAATACACATAAACACAGCTAATATTGGATGTTCCAGGGAGAACAGCAGATGTGCCTCCACAAATGACTTGAGACTGACTCCACTCTCATCTAGATCAAACCGATTTCTCCTTGTAGGAAACCTTCTTGCAAAGCCATTTAAATATGTCTGCACATCTCTTCTAAGTACTCCAGGTTTCTAAGTGAGGTTCAGTGCCTGACTCACACTGGCTAGGTATATAGCTAGAGCACGATCTTTGCCACATGAAGCTCCCTGGGACCAAGGGTCCTAAAGGGTGCAGAGACACCCCAGCTTTCTCAAAGGGGCCAGGGCATACAGGCCACATGGAAAATCTCTGCTTGCCAGGAGCTGGCCCTGTGCAAAAGCATGCTGCTGGGTTCCAGATTGCACACGGAGATGTTGTGGCAAAGCTGCGTCAGAAGACCCACGGCATGGAGCCAGAACAGCGTGGGGAAGTGGGCTGCCAATCCCCTGCCTCAGCTATAACTGTTTCAGTACTCTTCCTGTACTGGAAGATTACATATGGCTTTAAGGATTCACACATTTTAAAAAATATTGAAAAACTGAAGAATGAGGAACGTTTGTGTAACAGTTAGAGAAAATGTATGAGCTTAAGCAGAAAGAATTACAGTAGTCAAGTACTTGCAAGGAAACAAAATTCTCAGTCTTGAAAGCTGGTTAATCCAATGGAAAAAAAGAATTAACAAGAAGCAGTGACTGAAAGCTTAAATTCAAATATGGCATTAAGCCACAAATTCAACAGT